CTCACCTGGAGTATAAAGGTACTTCAATATTTGGAGGTCAGAAACAGATCCAGCAAAGACTGCAGAGCGAGCAGGTAAAAGGAAACCAGGAGAGGGTTCCAGAAGCTAACTGAAGCCATACTCAATGATTAAACATTTCTCCCACCAAAATAACAAAGATTAAATTAAAATAATCAATGCTCATGAGAGTACTATGACACAAGCATGTTCACTGGAGGGTGGAGTGCAAACTGGTATAATCTGTTTGTAAATCAATTCTCAAAATGAATCAACAATTTGAAAAACATATTCTTTAACTCAACATTGCGCTTGTGATAAAATCTATTTTTGAAGGTTCATCCAAAATACTAAAATTTTTGTGCATATTAACAGTATTGCCACTGATTATTTTTAAAATTGCTGTGCTGTACATCAATCAGAAGAGTTTATTTCCTGAATATCTGTGCTAAGGATAGTAGTCGCCCTAAACCAATTCTGCTTGACATCCTTCTCTCTCAATGGCCAACTTCATCAGCCCCTCTGAATTGAGACACCTCATATCCCCATTTCCTTGTTGACAAGTCACAATTTACTTATTCCACCTGGTTGTGGTAAAACACGAAATCAAGTAAACAAAGGGCCTCCAGGAATCATTTTATACAATCCCTTATACTCAGATAGGTGATATCATTTTTCTGATAAGGGCAACAAAAGGTGAAGGTAACATGACTTGTTGGAGAATGAACAAAAGAATGTTTAACGTCTCCTGATCTCTGCACATTACATGGCAGATTTAACAATCCTACTTACTCAGATGCAAAATGGTTACAAACCCTCAAAATTCAGAGAAACACTATAGTTTTGTAAAGACTGAACACACAGACATATCCATTTTTTTTAAAGATCATTTTTCTCGTTATTCTCTCATTAATCCGAAGAGCATTTATTGAATGCTTACTATATTCCAGGCACAAGGAGTGCAAAATTTAGTAAGACTAGTCCCTAAACTCAGGTGTATTGGGGAAGACAGAACTTCACAAGTTAAAAACACTGTAACAGAAACATCTGTCATAGAAACAAAGATGATGGGGATTTTATTACAAGCAGAAGTAATCTCTCTTCTCTGATTCCAAGAGCTTTCTTCACTCCTCTCCTTAAATACTTGCATCAGGGAAGGTACCATCTGAGATAACACTGGGTGAATGCTGAGGGACACACAGGGACTCATCAAGTGACCAAAGGAAAGCCTAAGTGTTTCAGGCAAAGGCAAGTGCATGTTGCAAAAGAACTTGAAAAAATATATTTTTTCCTAATACCTCAAGCATAAAGTAGGAAGACGGTAACAGGAAAACAAGCAGAAACCAGATTACAAAGAATGATACACATGATGGCATCATGTGTTTGCACAAACTCATCCAATTGTCTAAACTCATCAAGCTGTACACATTAAAGGTACAGTTTTTGTTCTTTATCAGTCATAGCTCGACAAAGCTGCTACAAAAATAATGTGTTCTTCCAGACACTATCTGGCACCCACCATGTACCCACACACACACTAACTTATCGGAGTCTTTAGGGATCCACTTGGTAGTCAAACAGTACAGCAAATAGAGGAACTCTTTGACATAAGAGGATAATGGTTTCAAGTCCCTGTTCTCCCACTTTCTGGCAGTGTGACCACTGGTGAGTTATCCTCCATTCTTGAGTCTTTTATCTGACTCATAAAACATGGTAATCCCCACATTTCAAAGCAGCTAGGAGGATGAAATAGATCAAGTGGTCATCAAATGTTAAGCATACAACGATCATTCATTAATGGAGAGCTCAGCTTTATGTATGCCCTCTCAAGCAGGTAAATAGTAAATAGAAAAATATATCACACCCCCTCCCACAAAAGGAGGCCATACATACTCTTTAAACCTAAATATTAATAAATTCTAGATTTGCCGGAAAGCAATGGCTTAATTTTGGACATTCAAAATACTCCCGGCAGGCATTTGTGGAGAAATGATGTAGTTAAGTTCTCAATCAGCACTAGATTATGAAATAAAAGTTGGTAGTTACCGAGTATTTACCATGACATCAAGCTATGTGTTTTCTAAGCATTCCCATCTAATCCCTACAATCACCCTTTTAGGGGCATTTTTATTATCCCCTTCCAGGTAAGAAAACTGAGTTACATAGGTCAATTTGCAGTGTAGCAACAGAGTGAGTAAATGTGAAGCCTGGAAGCTGCTTTAATGAAGGGAAAAAACAGAAGTGTGACTAAAGGAACAGGGTGTAATGACTTCAACTAGATGCATGATTGAGCCATGAACCACCATCGGAAAATAAACAGGACTAATGTGGTAATTGTGTTTAAAAATAACTCTCCACTACTAGAATGTGGATCCTTAGGGGCAGTTATTCAGATTCATATCCAGGTGCGGGGGATTCCAAAGCAGTACATATCACCCACCTCACTTTATTAGACAAAACACTCAAGGCCAGCTAGACTTCTCCCCTTCACAGCATTAAAAAATGTACTTTTTTGAGACAGGGTCTTGCTCTGTCACCCAGGCTGGAGTGCAGTGATGCAATATAGCTGACTGCAGCCTTGACGTCCTGGACTCTGATTTTCCCACCTCAGCCTCCCAAAGAGTTGGGCTTACAGTTGTGACCCACTGTACCCAACCTCATTCATAGCATTTAGCATGTATTACTAGGTCTTTGTCTTACACAGCAAATATACCCCAAGAAGGTAGCAACAGAAGACTGTGCAGAATCTCAAAGGTTGGATAAAATCAACTAGGGGATGAAATGGACTTAATGCCTATCAGCAAGATTAGTGAGGTTGCATTTCAAGGACCCATGTTTGGTAAATAAAGGTTTCCAATTGAATGGTATTGTTTTAATATGTCTTCTCCAAAATTCATGATGAAACTTAATCTCTACTGTTGCATAGAAACTGCCATCAGTCATGCACTGCTGGTAGAAATGCAAAATGGTAGAAAACACTCTGGACAGTTTAGCAGTTTCTCAGAAAGCTAAACATTCAACTACTACAAGAACAGCAAATGCACTCTTGGACATTTATCCCAGAGAAATAAAAACTTACATTCACACAAAAACCTGTATATGAATGCTCATAACAGCCCTAAAAACAATAGCTAACACACCAGCCACAGTGGCTCAGGCCAGGAATCCCAGCATGCTGGGAGGCCAAGTGGGGAGATCAATTGAGGTCAGGAGTTCAAGACCAGCCTGACCAACATTAAGAAACCCCGTCTCTACTAAAAATACAAAATTTGCCAAGTGTGGTGGCACATGCCTATAATCCTAGCTACTTGGGAGGCTGAGGCAGGAGAATCACTTGAACCCAGGAGGTGCAGGTTGCTGTGAACTGAGATCATCCCACTGCACTCCAGCTTGGGCAACAAGAGCAAAACTCCACCTCAAAAAAAAAAAACAGAACAAATACCCCAAAAACCAATAGCTAACAATTGGTAATATCCCAAATGTCTTTTAACAGGTCAATGATTAAACACACTGTGGTATGTTCATACCATGGAATTGTACTCAGCAATAGAAATAAATAATACAGAAAACCACCTGGATGCGTCTTCAGGGAATTATGCTAATTCAAAAGAAACAGTCACATCTAACTTACATGATCCCTATCATTTCCATTCTTGAATCGACAAAATGAAGGCTACTTAGTGCTTGCCAGGGGTCAGTGGGGATGACAAGAGGAAGAGGTGGTCTGACTGTGTAAGGCAACATGAGGTATCTTGTAGTGTTAGAACTGTTCTATATATTGACTTTGTTACTATCTTTTGAGACAGTCTTCCTGTTGCCCAGGCTGCAGTGCGGTGGCACAATCTCAGCTCACTGCAACCTCTGCCTCCCTCCCAGGTTCAAGCAATTCTCATCTCAGCCTCCAGAGCAGCTGGGATAACAGGTGCTAGCCACCACAGCTGGCTAATTTTTGTATTTTTAATACAGGTGTTTCACCATATTGGCCAGGGTAGTCTTGAACTCCCGACCTCAAGCGATCCCCCCCACCTCGGCCTCCCAAAGTGGCATGAGCCACTATGACCAGCCTATTAATATCCTGATTGTGACATTGCACTATAGTTTTACAATATGTTATCACTGACAAACAGGATACAGCACACATGGGATCTCTATTTATATAACTCCACGTAAATCTGCAACTATCTCAAAATAAAGATTCAACTAAAAAAAAAAAAAAAACAAAAAACCTCCCACCCTGGCAGTATCAAGAGGTAAGTGAAGGTCAAACCTTTAAGACACCAAACCTGCCAGCACCTTTACCTTTGGACTTTGCAGTCTCTGGAACAACCACATAAGCTTCTACTTTTTACCCAGGTCTCTGGTATATTGTTACAGCAAAAGTCTAAGTGCTATCACCACCACTATTTTCTGAGTCCTGATCCATGTATGGTCAAAGCAATTCCAAGCTAACATGCAACACACAAAGAATGGATGCTTTAAACAATCTTTTTTTGAGACGGAGGCTGTTTCCCAGGCTCGAGTGCAGTGGTGCAATCTTAGCTCACTGTAACCTCCTTCTCCTGGGTTCAAGCCATTTCCTGCCTCAGCCTCCTGAGTAGCTGGGATTGCAGGCACCTGCCCTTGTGCCCTGCTAATTTTTGTATTTTTAATAGAGGTGGTGTCTTACCATCTTGGTCAGGCTGGTTTCAAACTCCTGACCTTGTGATCCACTCACCTAGGCCACCCAAAGTGCTGGGATTACAGGTGTGAGCCACCGTGCCCGGCCAACAATCAATTTTTTTTAGGATTCAAAAGCAAATTCTGGATCTGGAGCTTAAGTGTAATATAATACATTACCTTCCACTTATTTGATACTCTATTTCTTCCCTGATGATTTAGAGGGACTACCTTCAAACCAGTACAAATATTTGATATATAACAGCTGGCCATTTTCTAACCAATTGAGTAATTTGTTGCAATAAGCTACCTCATGTCTTTCAGCAAAAAATACATTGACACCACACTTCTACTCAATGAAGAAAAACATTTTTTAACAGTCCAGAAGTCTTTTATTTTTTTTAACACCTATTATGCCATGAATTCATAGGGAATAGGTTCCAGCAGCTCAGGCTCCTTCCCATTGGTTCTCACAAAGTGTGCTTCTCTGGGTGGAGCAGGCTATTAAAGGAAAAAAAAGGGAATAAAATAATTATGTGAAGTGTTAAAACAACCTTAAAGTACTCTCAGGACCAATGAAGTACACACTAAATTCTCACCTGTCGCTTCAGTTGGACCCAGGTACCTTTCTCTTTGGCTTCCTTCTTTTTCTGATCATTTTCCTTCACACGTTTTAGGAAGCTATCTCGGCTCTTAGAGTGCTTGATGTGCTCAATACGCACATTAATTCTCTTGGCAAGAATCTTGCCCCTGGACAGAACAGAAATTCTTTTAAGTACTTTATCAAAAATAAAATGGAAACATAGAAACTGCCTTTGCAGTTTCATTTGTTAAATAAACCATGAACCTTTCACCCAGATATGATAAATCAACAAAGTATGGCTCGATTACTTAATTTACAATCAATTATTAATCATATCAGAAGAGGCTTTGCAGAACATCCCTACTTTTAAGCTCTCTTTGATGAGATGACAGCCTATTAAACTCTAGTATCTAACCAAAACCAGAGAGCTAATAAAATTTATAGCTTACTAAATTTCTTTTTATTCGATAAAAACTGCTTAGCACCAAACCGTGTAAGACTTTCCAGTAAATCTATTTCAATGTTTCCTTTGACAGGACACAAGACAAACACCCAGTTTGCCTGAGTTTTAAAAGGATTATTTCCTTTGCCCCACTTGAATGACCAATAAAGACATTAAGTCCAATTGGCAAAGTGAAAAGGGGGTATGAGGGAATACCAACTAGCCAGGAAGAACTGCAACACTACTTACTTAACTTGTTTGTTTACAACAATGCCAACAGCATGCTGGGTAACATTGTAGACTCTTCCAGTTTTGCCATGATAACATTTGTGGGGCATTCCTTTTTGAACAGTACCCATTCCCTGTTAAAGAGACAAACATTATATACCAGCATTTCCTCTTTCTTTAAAAACCTGACTTTAAGTAACGATATGATATTCTAAGATTTCTTCCAAATGGCAACTCAAGAGCTTTCAGAGCCGGTGAAATGTGTTTTTCACATTGCTTCAAGCAATCAAAGAAATAATCATCACTAAGCTCTAGAGTGCTGGGATACGTTTAATCTAGGTCACAGCTTTCACTGGGACGGTTCTTAACCACAACCACAGTAACAGTAATTTTCATCAACCATTAAACTTTAACGTATTCCTTTCTACCTAGAGAAGCTCTCATAATCCCCCTCCCTACCACCCCATTTCCACTAGATGTTAACTCCAAGTGGTAATGAGAAAAATTTTAATTCTAAGAATACTTTAAAGAAATCCATTCATAGGCCAGGCATGGTGGCTCATGCCTATAATCCCAGCACTTTGGGAGGTCAAGGCAGGCAGATTACCTGAGGTCAGGAGCTGGAGACCAGCCTAACATGGTGAGACCCTGTCTCTACTAAAAATACAAAATTATCTGGGTGCACATGGTGGCGAATGCCTGTGATCCCAGCTACTTGGGAGGCTCAGGCAGGAGAATCACTTGAATACGGGAGGCAGAGGGTGCAGTGAGCTGAGATTGCATCACTGCACTCCAGCCTGGGCAACAAAAGCAAAACTGTCTCAAGAAAAATCTATTCCATACTCCTACAGATGCAATAGACACTAGTATTCGAATTCCTACACTAGATTAAATCCAACTTTTCTAACTTCTGTAGTGTTATTTCCCTAATTTTATATTTACCTTGATATCTACAATATCACCTTTCTTATAGATTCGCATATATGTGGCCAAAGGAACAACTCCTGCAAAAATAAATTTGATATAGCGAGTATTAAGGCTAAAAGTCTAGAGTAAAAGAAATGCAATTTTACTAGCTTTTAACACATACATCCATCATTTTTTATGGTTACATGCTTAATATCTTGCCAATGGACAATTTCTCCTGAAAGCAAAATAAGCCTACTAAATCACAACCTCTCTCCAAAGTTTAATCTTGCATCAATATTTAGTCACAAAACTACATAAACTTCACGCTTATTTATTATAAAATAAGTTGGGTAGATGCTATTGATACACATTCTATGAACCACAACATGTTGAACACAACAGAACACGAATGGGTGCCATGCTCTCTCTCAGGGAAGGTAAACCTACTTACCATGTTTTCTAAAAGGCCTAGAGAACATGTATCGAGTGCCTCTCCTCTTTCCCTTTGTGTTCGTCATTTTGGCGAATTACTGAAATCAAAAAGCATAACAGTCAAATACAATTGAAAACTGGCATTATTCCCCAAAACCCCTGCAATTTCAAATGTTTGCATTTCAGTAGCAATGTGAGAACTGCAAAGTGAAAGCTGGATCACCAAGCAATTACTTCTGCTGAAAGGTGAAAAACCATTATTTTCAGAAGTAAGGTCTTTTGGCAAAAGTGTCCAAGATCTGTAACATCAAAACTCTTATGTAGCAGAACTTGATACAAAAATTCAAACCAGTACCATTTCCCTATGAGAATATAAAAACACAAAAGGACTTCTACCATTCAATCTAGAATACCAAAGGCATGTAATTACTAACCAGAAAATAATTTATTGGAGAACACAATGGAATAGACGTACATTTTTATGTGAATTAAATCTTTCTTGTCAACCAAATTTTCTGTGACAGTGTATTTCAAACAGCATTTATTTAACTGTCAGAAATCTCAAGTCACTTGACATTTCTGATTACTTACTACAAAATGTATTTAGGGTAGAAGAAAGGGAAACCCAGGCTTTATAATCATTGACCTAAATTTGACATAGGCTCTGCCACTTACTAGCTGCGAAGTGCACATTTCACCTCTCATCTTCACATGCGAAATGGGGGTGAACACTTTCATAACTGAGGTAACACAAAGAACTCAGAAATTCTTGTCCCCTGTAAAGTGCTTGGTAGTAACTGGCAGCTAATTTATCATTATCTAAGAATTTACCCATAGGCATTTAGAAATTAACCTTCCTTGTTTCCCAAAAGGCCACAACAATAGTTTTGATGGCTCTTTGGTCATTCCAACAGAAGTGCTAAAAACAAACAAACAAAAAATTAGAAAGAAAAAAAGATTAAAAAAAAAAAGCGCTATTCCTGGCCATTACTCATACAATAAGGTAAAATACGCCAGTCAGGCTTAGTGTGTTAACAATATTCTAATACAATTTGGTTTCTAAATTTATTAACAATTCCTTAAGAATGGCTCTCAAAGTACCATTTTAATAAAAATTGAGTAACAAGGAAACATGTTTCACTGAACTCACCAAAGCCAAACCATTGTTATAATGGACGAATCCCTTAAATGGCAGGTACCCTGTTCTAATCCCCAAAGCCTTTACAAGTATATAAAGTTCCAAAAACTTGTGGTAAGTTAGTAAACAAGGAGTGATACTATGTAGATTCAAGCCACTCTGTGGAATCACCCACTGGCAGAACTAGTTAACTTATTCTTGACTCCAAACTAGATCCATGTTCCTGAGTAAGGAATACATTTTCCACATGGACCCCGTACAGTTGAAACTGAACCCGCTTTCCAAAACAGTGACCCTTCAGTCTGCAGCAGTATTAAAATCATGGCAACTAGTATCCACTATAAGGAGTAATCTGCAGTTTGCCTGACTCTGCCTGTTAACATCCACAAACTAGACAAAAAGATGAACTATGGCTAAATGTTTCCCTTCACTCAAAGCATGCTGCCCTAGAATTCGCAAAACAGTAACTCCTCTTGGTACAAATATTGGTGTTGCAACCTCAAAATACTTTCGCTTCGTCCAATCACCATGTGGGGTCAAAATTTTAAAAACAGTAAGAAATCGTCTCATGCATTAACCACGAGTTGGGAGGGTTCATTACCCAGGACAACTCCGGGACCCATTCTGCAACCAAGAGCCCGGGTTTTCACACATGTAGGCCTCACAGGCGATTAAAGCAGACGCCTGACTTCAAACCCATTCCTACTACCCCTTAAGTCCTCAACCAACAGTATCAAAAGATTAGGAACAAAAAACGTCACACCGAAAGGAGTTAGAAAGGCTTCAGGCCACGCGGCCCCCACAAAACCTATCTGAGAGAGCCACTCACGGTACCGGGGATGCAGCCACGGGGACATAAAACGAAGTCTTTTCCAGATTAACTCGAATTGCCTCACCCCAAGCGACTGAGCCTTGTCTTTCTAGCAAATGTCCCCCGGCATAGCCGCGACACCGCAGTCGTATTCTCAGCCCACGGCCCAGGCCCGACCCGGCGCACGCTCCTCCGTCTAGCAGAACATGGCTTAACCTGCCCATGCCAATGGATCCCAAATAGGTTAGGCAGTCTCCCCACGGTCCCAATGCTACCTCTGCGGCCACAAGGTAGCAGTTCAAGTCTGTCAAACGCTTAGCTCCCGGGAGCCACGCACAGGCCCTACCTGGAAGATGGCGGTTCCAGCCAAAAAGAAGGAGGTGGGGCCACGGCGCGAGCCTTACAAGGGCCTGTGAGCTGCCCGCGGCGCTGCCTGAAGGAAACGCCGGCCAAAAGCGACTCCTTTCTAGGGAAGGAAATAGTCTCTGAGAATAAGGAGAGTCTGTGAGGATAGTTTCCTTTCTTGCGAAAGAAAGGCAACCGGCCAACACAAACTGACACCTGTATCGTGTCAGACAGCCCGGAAAGGGGCCTTCGAGGACGGCGAACAGGACGCTGACGTCCGAGCGTGCTTACGTCCTCCTTTACGTCACTGTCTACGCCGGAAGCTGCTTTGTATCTGCGTCTCTCTGCGGAAGGCTGTAGCTGGTGCTGCCGAAAGGGTTAGTAGCTGCTACCTATTTGTTTCCAGAAATAATTTGCGTGGGTACGAAAGTCAAACGAGAAAGAAGCAAGTATATTATCTAGTTTGTATGTCTTTAAAGAGTTTTTCCTCCACACGTCTAAACATATGCACCTGCCAGTAGGTGCGCAAATGTTAAAACCTCTTTGGAAAGCAATTTGGCAAAACCTAGTAAAACAAGATATTCAATTACTAAAGCCCAGCACTCTGCTCCTACCTATACGTCCTGTAGAAACTTTGGTAACTGAACAAGGATGTATGTAACAGCGCTGTGGGTAGAAGCAAAAAATTAGAGATGTTCATCAATAAGAGACTAAATACTTTATGGGATGTTAATAGGATGTAGTGTTATTCGCCAATATAACAGGACTGAACTCAGAAATGTGATGAGGCAAAAAGAGAAAGATGTAGAAAAATAGTATGACAATTCATGTACATTCAACTCTAAAACTTGCAAATTGCTTAGTTATATATACATATGTAAAGTAGTCAAGAAATACAAGAGAATGAAAATCAAATTTAGAAAAGCGGTCATATCTGGTAAGGAGGGGACAATGAAGGGAGGTTCTAACAGTATTGACCATTATTAAGATATTAAATATATGGGTGGCCATTGTTTTATTCACTACACTTTTAAAAATATGTATTTTCTCAATATGGTTTCTTTTTAAGACTGTTCTAATTTTTTAGAGAATCCAGAGAATTCCCATATACCCAGCATCCAGTTTCCCCTGTTATTAACATTTTATGCTAATAGGTTACATTTGTTGCACTGCTGTTAACTAAGGTTATTTTATTCAGATTTCCTTCGGTTTTACTTAATATCCTTTTTCTGTTCCAGGATTCCATCCAGAATACCATATTACATTTAGTTATCACATCTCCATATATGCTTATCATGGCGGTGGCAGTTTCTCAAAACTTTCCTTACTTTTGATGACCTTGACAGTTTTGAGGAGTACTGGTCTTATATTTTGTAGGATGTCCTAATCATGGGATTTGTCTGATGTTTTTCTCACGATTATATGTATTATCCTTAGGATGCATTTAAAAAAAAATCAGCTAAGTAACAAAATCCTTATCTGATTGAATACAAATAATATCGCTTTTGAAATTTGCATTTCTTCCACTCACTCTCTTAATGCATCTGGAAGTTGTAATTTCTAAAAACTGCATTGGCACCATTTTTAAAATGTATACATTCTGTGACCAGTGTCATCAGCACTTACATCATTTCCTGAAGAACTGGAGGAGTAGGATTAGTACTGATTCCTTCAATACGTTGACTCCTCTACTTTCACTGTAACCATTAGCCCTTAGCTTCGATATTCATATTTGGTCAACTTAATTTTCTGTAGTTCATCATTACAATCACTCCCTTAGCAGTCACTACCTCGGGTCACTTTTCCTTTCCCATTACTTTCTTTCTTTCTTTCTTTTTTTTTTTTGAGAGGGAGTTTCGTTCTTGTTGCCTGGGCTGGAGTGCAGTGGTATGATCTCCGCTCACTGCAGCCTCTGCCTCCTGGGTTCAAGCAATTCTGCCTCAGCCTCATGAGGAGTACCTGGGATTACAGGCACCTACCACCACACCTGGCTGATTTTTTATTTTTAGTAGAGATGGGGTTTCACTATGTTGGCCAGGTTGGTCACCTCAGGTGATCCACCCACCTCAGCCTCCCAAAGTGCTGGGATTATAGTCGTGAGCCACCGCACCCGGCCCCCATGACTTTCTTAGCATGTATAGAACCTTGGATAAATGCAATCATGACAGTACCTCCACAGCTGAGCACCATTGAAGAAAATCTTGTAAACAGATCATCTGGTTTGATGACAAATCACAAACTAGTCATCTGCGCACTGCAGTGTTTTGCACTTAGATATGTTTTTTTTTTCTGAGCCCATAGAATGTTTTGAAAATTAAGATGTTAAAAAAATAATCAAAATTGCTAGATTCCATTGAAAAATCAGGAGGTCTGGCAGCATAGAGCTGATAGTCTGGGTGGCAGCCCTCCAGTGGCTGCCCCTATAGATGGGGCATGCGTTCTTGAGTTCCTCCATCACTCAGTCTGCTTCAGTCATTTACCTGCCTGGCCCTTGTTGGCATTTGTGTTTTTAACCCATCCCATAAATTCATGATCAACCATTAACAAATGGGTACTTTACTGTTTAGCATCCCCACTGCAGTTCCCGGGTTAATCTGCTTAACTGCAAACATCCCCACTGCAATTCTGGGGTTAATCTGCTTAACTGCTGTCAACTTAAAAAATCAAGCTTTTACATAATTAAAGTTAATTTTATTCAGAAGTCTCACTGAGGGCTGTAGACCAACGTTTACACCCTGAGGGCTGTTCTTTCAAAGGGCTGCACAGTGATGTTTCAGCCCATTGCTTCTATGTAGATTGTGGGGGTTCTGTATGTGTGAAATCTCATTAATGTTTGGGTGTAAGAGTACATCTGTTTATAGATTACTTAAGTACATTTGGTTATAGATTGTAGAAGCATAATCACTAACCCTCTCAGACATTATCTTCATGTAGGAAAAGACAAGGTCAAGTTCACTTACTATTTCAGGAACATTGTAACTCAGGCAAGTGACATGGGGGGCCATGTGCTCTGTCCTGTTTTTTTGTTTTTTGAGACGGAGTCTTGCTCTGTCGCCAGGCTGGAGTGCAGTGTCGTAATCTCGGCTCACTGCAACCTCCGCCTCCTGAGTTCAAGCGATTCTTCCACCTTAGCCTCCCGAGTAGCTGGGACTGCAGGCACGTGCAACCACGCCTGGCTAATTTTTGTATTTTTAGTAGAGACGGGGTTTCACCATGTTGGCCAGGATGGTCTCAATCTCTTGACCTCTTGATCTGCCTGCCTTGGCCCCCCAAAGTGCTGGGATTACCATCTATCCTGTTTTAAGATTCTTCCTGAGGAGCTGCATTTCATTTCATCACAGTCAGGGGTTCAAGCAGAAATAAGCAAACCTTCTTAACATTTGCTAGTTTGTCTCACTATAAATTACTCTATATTTAAAGATTATTTCATGTCATTTCTTTGATTATCAAACCTTCCTTCCTTCTCCCGCCTTTCTTTCAGCTGATGACTGCCTCTTTTTTGAGAGTCTCTCTTGGTTGCCCAGGCTGGAGTACAGTGGCATGACCATGGCTCACTGCAACCTCCACCTTCTGGGTTCAAGGAATTCTCGTGCCTCAGCCTCCCAAGTAGCTGGGATTACAGGCATGTGCTACCACACCTGGCTAATTTTTGTATTTTTAGTAGTGACAGGGTTTTGCCATGTTGGCTGGGCTGGTCTTGAACTCCTGACCTCAAGTGATCCGCCCGCCTCAGCCTCCCAAAGTGCTGGGATTACAGGAGTGAGCCACCTCACCCAGCCAGCTGCCTCATTTTTAACCTTGTAAAAACACACTCTGGTGCTCCACCTAAAACCTGCAACCCTCTTCTTTCTGACTCTGCTTGATCTCACATTCCCTACTAACTATTGCCCTATAGTTCGTTTTTCTTCTGTCAAATGAAAACAGAAAAGAGGAGTCGTGAAATGTTTGGTTTTATACATCAAAAATTGTGAAAGTTCAGCAGTGTCGTTTAGTTTAATATATGAGCACTACTATCTCTTTGTCATCTTTCATTCATTTTTCAGTTTCATCTGACTTCTGTACTAGTCATGTCACTAAAGCTGCTCCTGTCAAGGCATCAACTGCTTACATGTTGCCAAAGGCAAAAGACATTCCCTGTTCTTTCATGATCTGCACAAAGCACTGGACTCTGTTGGCCACCTCTTCCTCCATGACACACTACCCTTCCTGACCACTCCACAGTCTGTTTTGCTGTTTTCCCTCCTCTCCCTGTCGTATAAATAGTCACTACCTTTCCCTGGATCTTGGAGCTAAGTCCCCTGCTCCTCTTTCTATATTGCCTTCCTGGGTAATTCTGTTTACTCCTGTAACTATAATTTTAAATTTTATCTCTGGTTGTTGCTTACTACCAGATTGATTTATTTGATTCCAGCCTTTCATCAAAATTTCTATTCAACTTGACATCTATTCTTAGATACTCTTTAGCATCTCAGCATGTCCAAAGGCTTTTTTTCTTTTTTAAACTGCTCCTTGTGGAGTAGGGCTATCCCATAGGCAGAGTGTCTAGAGTAGCCAAAATTAATTGTACATGTCCTTTTTTAAGTTTTAGGGTACTTTTTTTTGGAGACAGAATCTTGCTCTGTTGCCCAGGCTGGAGTGCAGCCTCTACCTCCTGGGCTCAAGCCATCCTCCTGCCTCAGCCACTAGTGTAGCTGGTATCACAGGCATGCACAACCACGCCTGGCTAATTAAAAAAAATTTTTTTTGTAGAGATGGAGTCTCCCTTTGTTGCCCAGGCTGGCCTTGAACTCCTGAGCTCAGGTAGTCCTTCCATGTCAGCATCCCAAAGTGCCGGGATTGCAGGTGTGAACCACTATGCCCAGCTCGTAAAACTTTATTTTCTGCCAGATATAGTGGCTCATGCCTGTAATCCCAGCACTTTGGGAGGCTCAGGCAGGCCGATTGCTTGAGCTCAGGTGTTTGAGACCAGCCTGGGCAAGATGATGAAACCCTGTCTCTACAAAAAATACAGAAATTAGCAGGATCTGATAGTATGCGCCCATAGTCCCATCTACTTGTGGGGGGGTTGAAGCAGGAGAATCACTTGAGCCCAGGAGGCTGAGGCTACAGTGAGCCATTTACATTTCACTGCACATCTGCTGGAGCGATAAAGTGAGACTCTGTCTCAAAACAAATAACAACAACAAAAA